GCAAATATATATTTAACTTTGAGCATTTTCATCCTTTATTTCCATGATAAAATGGAGATACAAGAATGTGCTAATTCTGGGTGCCTGGGTGGCTCAGTAGGTTAAGCCTCTATCTTCTGCTCAGGTCATGATCTCAGGGTCCTGGGATCGAGCCCTGCATCAGGCTCCCTGCTCAGCGGGGAGCCTGCTTCCCCTCCTCTCTCTCTGCCTGCCTCTCTGCCTACCTGTGATCTCTCTCTGTGTCAAATAAATAAATAAAATCTTTTTTAAAAAATGTGCTAATTCTGATTTGACTGTCAGAATTAAAACAGTAGAACAGATATCTACAAAATCCTATAATCTTCCTTTGCTGCAGAGTTAGGCACCAGTAACTCTGAACACAGGCTCCACTCTAACTTGCTTTGTGGCTTTGGACAAGTCCTTAACCTCTCTGAGACTCAGTTTCCTCATATGAAAATTGAGTAATAATATATATTTATTATTAGGAGGGTAATAAGAATACCCTTAATTGATAGGACTACAGGTAAAAACCAAATAAGATAAAGAATAGGGGTGTCTGGGTAGTTCATCGGTTAAGCATCTGCCTTCAGCTCAAGTCATAATCCCAGGGTCCTGGGATCAAGCCCCGCATTGGGCTCCCTCCCTACTCAGCACAGAGTCTGCTTCTCCCTCTCCCACTGCCTGCCACTCCCCCTGATTGTGCTCTCTTTCTCTCTCTAGTGATTAAGTAAAATCTTAAAAAAATAAAAAAGATGAAGAATAGAAAACACAAGACATTGCCTCAGTAATGAATAATCTATAAGTATAAGCAATTATTTTTTTTTCAGTATAACAGTATTCCTTGTTTTTGCACCACACCCAGTGCTCCATGCAATCCGTGCCCTCTCTAATACCCACCACCTGGTTCCCCCAACCTCCCACCCCCCACCGCTTCAAACCCCTCAGATTGTTTTTCAGAGTCCATAGTCTTTCATGGTTCACCTCCCCTTCCAATTTCCCCCAGCTCCCTTCTCCTCTCTAACTCCCCTTGTCCTCCATGTTATTTGTTATGCTCCACAAATAAGTGAAACCATATGATAATTGACTCTCCTGCTTGACTTACTTCACTCAGCATAATCTCTTCCAGTCCCATCCATGTTGCTACAGAAGTTGGGTATTCATCCTTTCTGATGGAGGCATAATACTCCATAGTGTATATGGACCACATCTTCCTTATCCATTCATCCGTTATTATTATTACACTCAGTCTTTTTTTTTTTTTTTTGAGATTTAATTTATTTATTTGTCAGAGAAAGGGAGAGTACAAGCAGCGGGAGCATCAGGCAGAGGGAGAAGCAAGCTCCCTGATGAGCAGGGAGCCCAATGCTGGGCTTGATCCCAAGACCCCGGGTCCATGACTGGAGCTGAAGGTAGACCCTTAACCTACTGAGCCACCCAGGCACTCCTACACTCAGCCTTTTAAATGGGATAGAAATCACTGTTTATCATTCCATCTGTTTACAAGCTGATGACAGACTTCCTGGGACTTCACTCTATCATTATAAGAAAAAACACAATTGAGAACATAACAGGAGAACTCTCCCTATCCTTTTACCATATGCTGTTAATAATATACATTCCACAGGCTTTACTTAGCATATCTTTGGTAAAATGTAGTATTACGCAGTATTATACAATGAGAGTTTTAGAATCAATAGATTTGAATCCCAACATCACCTGTCACTAGCTGTGTGAACTTAAGAAAGGTATTTAATGTCTCTGACCCTAACTGTAAAATGTCAATAATAACAGTACTTACCTCACAGAATTATTGTGATGATTAAATAACATCATATCTATATAGTGGTAAGTATGGCAACTGAAACATTATAGCTATCAGTATTATTACTTCTCTTTTTAGAAAATGGCAAATGCCCTGAACCCCTCTAAAATGCTATAGTGTTCTCATTTTAAAAATTGATGACACTACAAAAAGATGTGCAGAAATACATGCTACAGGTAACAGGCAATTTGAATATAATAAAAATTCCACGCCACCATAAGAACTAAGTCTTGCTACAGAAGAGAAGACCTCTTAAAGCAGGTCTTGTATGTACACAGCTACCTAGTTATCTGGAGTCACTCAACAGACTGTGGAAATACACTCTGCTCACAATGTCTCACAATTTAAGTGGCATTATCCCATCAGACTCTCATGTCTCAAAATCAATATGCAAGCTGTGTTGCAGCACAGATAACTTTAACAAGCACTGCCAAACAATATATAGTATTTTTTTCTATAGTGTTTCACATGAGAGTATCAGTTTTCCCAATGAATGCTAAGCTAGAAGGTACAGAAGTCTTTATTCTTTGGCAATAAGCCCACGACATTAGACTGACAACCATGAATATGATTCATTCATTCAATAAATATTCATTCAATGCTTACTGAGTCCAGGCACTGTACCATGCCCAAAGAATATAAGTTTTTCACACAGTACTTGGGCAAGGTCTCCCCTCAGAGATCTTAGCGCCTAGAGGAGGGGATAAACTAATAATTAACAATGCTATAATGGACACAGGATGCTACGGAAACACATGGTAGTACATCTAACCAAGGGGGCAGAGGCAGGAGAAGGGAAAGGGAGCCAGTGAAAAATGTCCTGGGGAAAGTAACATTTAAACAGTGGCTTAAATGCAGGCAAGACAGACTGAAGCATATTTAAGAAACTAAAAGTTTTTTACAGCTGAAACATTCAGACTGACATGACATTGTAAGTCATGCTGAGTCAGGATGTGATATAGGAATCTGCACATATAATAAAAATCAATACCACTTTAAAACAATCAGTTCTATTTCTACACATCAGCAAGAAGGAGAACATAAAATTTAAACATTTATAATAGTATAATAAAACATCAAAAAATAGAAATAAATTCAATGAATTATGGGAAACATCCACGTACTAACAATTAGTTCACCTTATTCATGTTTTGTAAAGATTTAATAAACAAAGGAATATACCATTTTCTTGGGTTGTAAGACTCAATATTTTAAAGATGTCCATTATCCCCAATTGTATTGATAAATATATTAAATGTAGTCCCAATCAAAATACTAGCCAGATTTCCTTTTCTGTATAGAACCATATGAAAATGCAAAAGGATAGGAATAAGCCAGTTACTGGTCATGCTAATGGCCACAGATTCTATTTATATGAAATGTCTAGAACAGGCACAACAATAAAAACGAAAAAGTAGATTTCCATCCTTGCAAAGATGAAAAAAGGTGATCTTGAAAAGGAACAACTAAGGGGAAGAACTTTAACAGATATAAAGACCAATTATAACACAAGAGAAATTAGAACATTGAGATAATGGCAAAGGAACAGGCAAATGGATCCACGGAACAGAGGGCCTGCAACAGACAGGTAAGTACATGGCCACCAGTTTATGACAAAAGTGAGCCTGCAGTGCAAAGGAGAAAGGTTTCCAGTAAATGGTAGTGGGTCAATTGAATATTTGTATGAAAAAATGAATCTTATTAATATCATACACAAAAAAACAAATCCTAATGAATTACAAATACAAATGTAAAAAGTAAAATAGTAAAGCATTTCAAAAAATATAGAATAACACCTTTATGACATTAAAATCAGCAAATATTTCCTAAATTGGACATAAAAAAATCTTTACTATAAAAGGAAAGATTGATAAAATGGAACTTCTATTCATGTAAAGGTATCATTAAAGAAAGGGTGCCTGGGTGGCTCAGTCAGTTAAGGGCCTGCCTTTGGCTCACGTCATGATCCTGGGCTCCTGGGATTGAGTCCCACATTAGGCTCCCAGCTCAGCAGGGAACCTGCTTCTCCCTCTGCCTCTCCCCCTGCTTGTGTTTTGTCTGTCTCTCTCAAATGAATAAATAAAAATCTTAAACAAAAACCAAACAGAATGAACTGGCAAACCACAGAATGGGAGAATACATTTTTAAATGTATATTTCTAACAAAGAAACCTTATCTATAATATATAAAGAACTACTGACCCTCTACCCACCCCCAAAAAAACTGGAAGGGGGCAGGTGAGAAGGTCCTGGCAGGAAGACTTCAACAGGTACTTCACAAAGGAGTGTATCCCAGTCAGCAAGAAACATAAAATAGTGTTCAACTTCATTAGTTTTCAGGGACATCAAAATTAAAACTGCGAGGAGATACTACAACATACCCACTAGAAAGGCAGAGAGTTCCAAGTGCCACCAACGACACAGGACAAGAGAGCTGATACACTGCCGGGTGGAGAGGAGGTAAAATGGGCACAAGCACATTGGAAAACTTTTCAACATAATCTACTAAAGCTGAAGATATGCCTATCTTGTAACTATGTAATTCTGCTCCTAAGTTTATATCCAAGAGAAATGCATAAAAAAACTTCATTAAGAAGCATGTATGAGAAAGCTCATGGAAGCATTAGCTAATACTTCCAAACTAGAAATTGCCAAAAGCCAGAATTAATAAATTCATATCTATATTTGCACAATGGAATACTACGGGCAGTAAGAATGAACTAAGACTATGCAGGTTAGGATGAAACTTACAAACAAAATATTGAACAGAAGCCAGCACATAAAATGTACATATTATATGATTTTATTTGCATAAAGTTTAAGATGAAGCAAAACCTATTTTGGTGTAATAAGTCAAGGTAGTGGTTAGTCTGGCTGGAAATATCCTAAACAGAAGGGAACACGACGAAGCTTCTGAGATTCTGGGCTCCTTGTAATGCCCTGTTTCCCAGTGGAGATGCTGCCTACGTAAGTGTGCTCATTTTGAAATTTTGAAATATTGTGTGGGTGAATGTGTGTGTATCTTTATACACCCTTCTGTATCACCTTCAAAATACTTCCAAAAAATTTTTAGAATCATATCACCATATTTGTACAAAGATGACTATTTGAGCCTATGGAGAATGAAAAAGGTAAACTGAATATAGAGGTTAGGCTGTTTGTATGGTATTTTTACTCACCTTTGTCCTGTAATGCAATTTGTTGCTTATGCAGTAATGCCACCTCCCGTCCCAAAGCTTTCTTCTGTCTTTCCAGTTCATTTCGAAGCACCAAAATTTTTAATTGCAAGCACTCACTTTGTTTTCTCTAAATAATTAAAAAGCACAGGTAAATTTATGACTATGAAAGTCATGACTATGAATAATTATACATTCACAGTGTCTCCAAATTAATAATGATGTAAAGCACCTTAATAGTCATCTAATTTAAAGATCTCTTGAATAACTTAATTATCTGCACTGGCCATTTTAATAGAAAGAACACAGATGTAAGCAGAGAATAAACCTGAAGTCTGGGGACAGGTGTTTCTAAGAATCCAAAAAGCACTACAAATATCTCAGGCCTCTTTCCCGAGATCACAATATAATTAAGACAAAAATTCATTTTTAAAAAATGGAGCTCTCAAAAACTTAAACATAGACATACCACAGGACCCAGTAATTCTACTGCTAGGTACACACCCAAGGGAACTAAAAATATGTCCATACAAAAATCTGAATATGAATTTTCATAACAGCATTATTTATAATAACCAAACGGAGGAATCAATTCAAATGTCCATCATCTGATGAACCAAAACAAAATGTGGTACATCCGTACAAAGGAATATTACCTTGCAATAAAAGAAATGAAATAGTGATGAATGCTACAACATGAATGAACCTTGCAAACACTACACTGGGGCACCTGGGTAACTCAGTCAATTAAGCATCTGTCTTTGGTCATGACCTCAGGGTCCTAGGATCCAGTCCCATTGTCGAATCCCTGCTTAGCAGGGAGTCTGCTTCCTCCTCTCCCTTGGCTGCTCCCCCTGCTTGTGCTCTCTCTCTCTCTCTCTCACTCTCTCTCTCTCAAATAAATAAATAAAATCTTTTTAAAAAGAAAAGAAAACACTATACTAAGTGAAAGCCAGTTTAAAAAGGCCACAAACTCCATTTATATAGAATCCACAGAAACAAAAAGTAGATTTCCATCCCTGCCAAACTGAACCAAGGTGCTCTAATATCCCACAGATTTCAGAGAAAGTCAACCAGGGACCTGGGGCTTTCACCCCTTCCAGGTGATAACCATCCACAGTATCAGCGGACAGCACAAGCCGAGCCTGATTTACAAAAATAATGAGATAATCCTCTCCCTCCCAGCTGAGTGATACCAGAGGAGTCTTAGTGGAGAGTGAGAACTTTCCTTACTACACAGTGTTAATGAGGCCAGTCTATTCAGCATGCTATCAGTGGAGGCCATGTGGGGAACAATACCAAAGTATTACTACACCTCTTAGCCAGGTCAGTAGCAGTGAAGGCCTAGTGGAGAGTGGGAACTCCCAGTCCTGCTCAAAAGTAAGGATGCCCTCCCCCATACTCCTGCCACTTGGGTGTCAATGGAAGCTGCTTGAGGAACCTGAACTTTTATACCCACCTAGCAGTAATGAGATAGCATCTCTCCCTTCCCTATCAGAGAAAGAGGTGTCAGAAAAAGCCAGACCAAAGAGGTTTCAATAAGATCTAGAAACTCATAACATCATATCCAAAATGTACAAGTCTCAATTAAAAATAATTCAATACACCAAGAACCAGAAAGATGTCAAAGTAAATGAAAAAGGATAATTATGAGATACCAATACTGAGGGGCGCCTGGGTGGCTCAGTCAGTTAAGCGTCTGCCTTTAGGTCATGATCCCAGGGTCCTGGGATTGAGCCTCACGTCCTGCTCTCCACTCAGCAGGGAGTCTGCTTCTCCCTCTCCTTCTGCCCCCGCTTGTGCTGTCTCTCTCTCAAAAAAATAAATAAATAAATAAATAAAATCTTTAAAAAAGAGAGAGACACCAATATTGAGATGACAGACATGTTACAATTATCTGACAAAGACCTGGGAGCAGCTATCATAAAAGTGCTTCAATAACAATTAAGAACATCCGTGAAACAAATAATAAAAAAAAAAGAACATCTTGATAAAGAAATACAAAGTCTCAGTCAAGAAACTGAAGATACAAAAAAGAATCAAATGGAAATTTTATTTCACTTAGCATAATCTCCTCCAGTTAAAAAAAAAAGGAAATTTTATTTTTATTTTTAAAATATTTTATTTATGTATTTATTTGAGAGAGAGACAGTGAGAGAGAGCATGAGCGAGGAGAAGGTCAGAGGGAGAAGCAGACTCCCCGTGGAGCTGGGAGACTGATGTGGGACTCGATCCCGGGACTCCAGGATCAAGACCCCAGCCGAAGGGAGTCGCCCAACCAAATGAGCCACCCAGGTGCCCCCCAAAAAAGGAAATTTTAGAGCTGAAAATATCTTGAATAAAAAACTTAGTGAATAAGCTGAACAGCAGAATGTAGGAGACAGAGAAAAGAACCTTTAAGCTGGAAAACAGAGCAACAGAAACCACCCAATCTAAACAAGAGAGAGAAAACAGAGTGTTGTTAAAGAAAAAAAAAAACAAAACAGTCTCAGGATCTGTGCAACTATATAAAAAGACCTAATATTTGTAACATCCAGTACAGGGAGGAGAAAAGAAATAAAGCAGAAGTGAAAAAGTAAACGATGATGAAAAACTTCCCAAATTAGGCAAAGAAATACATCTACAAATTCAAGAAGTTAATGAACCCTCAAAGAGAATAAATAAAATGGAGAAAATCACAAAATAAATAAAATCAAAAGCTGGCTTTTTGAAAAGGCCAATAACTTTGATAAAATTCTAGCCAGGCTAACCAAGAAAAAAAGAAAAGACAAATTAATATTATGAAGAATGAAAGAGGAGCCATCACAACTGATCCCATGGGCACTGAAAGAATAATTAAAGAATACTATAAACAACTCAATGGCCACAAATTTGGTAACTTAGATGAAATGGACCAATTCCTTAAAGACAACCTACTAAAACCCATGCTAGGAAAAATAATCTGAAAGGGCTTATATATGAAATAATTAAATTAATAACTAATAGTCTTTTAAAATGTAAAGTACCAGGCCCAGATGGTTTCACTGGTGAATATTACCAAACATATAAACAAATAACACTAATTCTTTAAACTCTTTCAAAATATAGAAGAACTTCCTAACTCATTCTAGGAGGCCAGCATCACCCTAATACCAAAATCAAAGACATCACTAGAAAGGAAAATTACAGACCAATCTCTCATACACACAGATGCAAATTCATCAATAAAATAGGAGCAAATCAAATCCAACAAGTATGAGAAGAGTTATACACCATAGCCAAATGGAATTTATTCCATGTATGCAAAGCAGGCTGAACATTCAGTAATCAGTGAAATTCACCATATAAACCAGGCAAAAAAGAAAAGTCATATAATCATATCAATACATGCCAAAAAAGCATATGACAAAATTCAATACCCATTTATGATAAAAATTCTCAGCAAACTAAGAATAAAGGAAAGCTTCCTCAACTTGTAAAGAATATTTGCCAGAAAACCTACAGCCAACAACAACTTATGATGGGGTTATGCCCCAATAAACCCATTATAAGTTAAAAATATTGTAAGTTGAAATACATTTGATACACCTAACCTAATGAACACCACAGCTTAGCCTAGCCTACCTTATGTGTGCTCAGAACACTTACATTAATCTACAGTTGAGCAAAATCATCTAACACAAAACCGTTTTATAATAAAGTGTTAAATATGTCATGTAATTTATTAAATACTGTACTGAAAGTGAAAAACAGGATGGCTGCATGGGTACAGAATGGTTATAAGTATTATCAGTTGTTCCCCTCATGATCACGTAGCTGACTGACAACTGTGATCTGTTACTGCTACCAGGCATCATCCCCAGCATCATATATTGCTAGCTTGGAAAAAGATCAAAATTCAAAATTTGAAGTACAGTTTCTACTGAATATGTATCATTTTCACACTATCATAAAGTAAAATCTTACATTGGGGATTATCCATACTTAATGGAAGTGAACCAGATCCTTTCTCCCTACACTGGAGAACAAGGCACGGATGTCCCCTTCCACCACTCTGTGAAACATGTACTGAAAAACCTAACTATGCAATACAATAAGAAAAGGAAATAAAAACTATCAGACTGGGAAAAAAGAAATAAAATCATCTTTGCTTACCGAGGATTTGATTGTCTGTGTAGGAAATCTCAAAAAATCAACCCCTCCCCACCCGTCAAAAAAACAAAACAAAACCCAAAGCCTCCTGGAACTAGTAAGTGATTATAGCAAGGTTGCACAATCCAGAGTTAATACACAAAAGCCCATTTCTTTCTTATGTAACAGCAAGGAACAATTAGAACATGAAATCTAAAACACAACATTACATTAGACTAAAAAAAATGAAATATTTAGGTATAAGACTAACATAACAAAATATGTACAAGACCTAAATGAAGAAAACTGAAAAACTGATGAAAGAAATCAAAGGAGATCCAAATAAATGAATGTCCATATTCACGGATGGAAAGACAATATTATTAAGATGTCAATTTTTCCCAACTTGACCTATAGATCCAGTGAAATCCCAGCACGTTATTTTGTTGGTACCAACAAATTGATCCTAATGTTTACTAGGAAGGAAAAAACAAAACAAAACAAAACAAAAACACAATAGCTCAATACCGAAAAAGAACAAAGTTAGAAGACTGACACTATCTAAAGTTAAAACTTACTATAAAGCTACAAGAATCAAGACAGTTTGATATGGACACAGAAGAGACAAATAAATCAATGGAACAGAAGAGACAGCCCAGAAACACATACACACACGAATAGAGTGAACTGCTCTTTGTCAAAGGAACAAAAGCAATTCAATGGAAAAGGGGATAGTCTTTACACCAAACGGTGCTGTAACTACTGGACAGGTGCATACAAGCAAAACAAAATGAAACAGAACCTTTAGATACAGACCTTATACCTTTCATAAAAATTAAATCACAAAACTAGTGTGAAATAAAAAAATTATCTTATGTGGGGTGCCTGGGTGGCTCAGTAGGTTAAGTGTCTGACTCTTGATTTCTGCTCAGGTCACGATCTCAGGGTCATCATCAGGTTCAGCACTCAGCCTGGAGTCTGCTTGTCCCTCTCCCTCTGCTCTTCCCCCCTTCCTCTGTC